CATGAGCCACCTTTCCCAGCCTGTGTATACATTTTTAATTGTTACGTCTTCCTAACCAATTGAATCTTGTTCTAAAGTGTCATTCTCTGTCTCTAGACAATTTTGTGTCATATTAGTATAATCACTCCAGCTTCATTTTGATTACTGTTTGCATGGTACACCTTTTTTTCCATCCTTTTTCTTTCTGCCTTTGTATCTTTGAATTTAAAGTGTGTATCATGTAGATACACACAGCAAATTGGATCATGTGTTTTTAAATTCAATGTGACATTCTCTACTACTATACTTTCTGTTTTTTAATATATGTCTCCTGGGTTTTTTTTTTTTTAATTCTTTTGCTTTTACTACCTTCTTTTATATTAAATGTATGTTTTCTAGTGTAATATACTAATTCCTTTAATGAATCTTTAATTGTATTTTTTTAAATTATTTTCCTAGTTGTTTTTCCAGGACTTACAGTACACATTTTATCAAAATTTACTGGTGGGGCACAGTGGCTCATACCTGTAATCTCAGCACTTTGGGAGGCTGAGGTGGACAGATCACTTGAGGTCAGGAGTTCAAGACCAGCCTGGCCAACATGGTGAAACTCCATCTCTACTAACAATACAAAAATTAGCCGGGCATGGTGGCACATGCCTGTAATCTGAGCTACTTGAGGGGCTGAGGTGGGAGAACTGCTTGCACCCCAGGTGATGGAGGTTGCAGTGAACCAATATCGTGCAACTGTGCTCCAGCCTGGGTGATAAAGTGAGACTCCACCTCAATAAAACAAAATTTATCTGAGATTTATCCTGATTTATTCTAAGGAAATACAGAAACTTTAATTCTATATAAATCCATTTCCTTCCTCCCTTTTTTGGCTATTCTTGTTATACATAGTCCATCTATATATATCAGAAACCCAATAATAAATTGTTATAATTATACTTGAGATAATCTTTTATAGGCACTGAGGAAAGAAAGGAAAGCAAGTATGTATTTACAGAGTTTGTTATAATACTCTTCCTATTTACCATTTTTTAGTTCTCTTCATTTCTTCCTGTGGATTCTAATTGCCATCTGGTATCATTCCTATACTCAAATACAGCTTCTCTTTCACTCACTTTGTTTGTGCTTATTGTCAAATATATTACATTTCTATGTTACTGACCCAACAATTCAGTAACATATATATTGTTTTATGTATTTGCTTTTTAAATCAGTTGAGAAGGGATAAGTAAATATATAATTATACTTTTATTACTACCTACAAATTACCTTTATTGGCACTCTTTGTTTTTTCACGTAAATTCAAATTACCCTGTGGTGTCATTTTGCTTTCAGCTTGATGAAATTCCTTTAGTAGGCAGGTCTGATAGCAACAGATTCTCTTGGGTGGCTCATGCCTGTAAACCCAGCATTATGGGAGGCTGAAGCAAGAAGATTTTGAGCCCCGGGGTTTGAGGTTACAGTGAGCAATGTAAGATTCTTGTTCGATAGTTATTTACTTTAAACACTTAGACCATGTCATCTCACTACCTCTGGTCTCCATTGTGAGCCAGATGATGATAAGAGTAATCATTAATTTTATTGAATTTTCTTTGTAATGAACTACTCTTTTTTTTTTTTTTTTTTTTTTGAGACGGAGTTTCTCTCTTGTTACCCAGGCTGGAGTGCAATGGCGCGATCTCGGCTCACCGCAACCTCCGCCTCCTGGGTTCAGGCAATTCTCCTGCCTCGGCCTCCTGAGTAGTAGCTGGGATTACAGGCACGTGCCACCATGCCCAGCTAATGTTTTGTATTTTTAGTAGAGACGGGGTTTCACCATGTTGACCAGTATGGTCTCGATCTCTTGACCTCGTGATCCACCCGCCTCGGCCTCCCAAAGTGCTGGGATTACAAGCTTGAGCCACCGCGCCCGGCCGACTACTCTTCTTTTATTACTTCCATGATCTTCTTTTTTATACTTGGCTTTCGGCATTTTTCCTAGGGTGAATCCATGTGTGGATCTCTTTGCATTTATCCTATTTAGCGTTCGTTGAACTTTGTGGATGTGTAAATTATGTTTTTCATCAAATTGGGCAAGTTGGGAGTTTTTGGGGGGTTTGTTTTGTTTTTTGAAATGGAGTCTTGTTCTGTCACCCAGGCTGGAGTGCAGTGATACAATCTTTGCTCACTGTAAGTTCTGCCTCCCAGGTTCAAGTGATTCTTCTGCCTCAGCCTCCGAAGTAACTGGGGCTACAGATGCACATAACCACACCTGGTTAATTTTGGTATTTTTAGTAAAAAGGGGATTTCACCATACTGGCCAGGCTGGTCTCAAACTCCTGACTTCGTGATCTGCATGCCTCAGCCTCCCAGAGTTCTGGGATTACAGGTGTGAGCCACCATGCCTGGCCAAATTGGGCACATTTTTAGCTATTATTTCTCCTGAATTTTTCTTTTCTTTTTTTTTTTTGAGACGGAGTTTCGCTCGTTACCCAGGCTGGAGTGCAATGGCGCGATCTCGGCTCACCGCAACCTCCGCCTCCTGGGTTCGGGCAATTCTCCTACCTCAGCCTCCTGAGTAGCTGGGATTACAGGCACACACCATCATGCCCAGCTAATTTTTTTTTAGTATTTTTAGTAGAGATGGGGTTTCACCATGTTGACCAGGATGGTCTCGATCTCTTGACCTCGTGATCCACCCGCCTCGGCCTCCCAAAGTGCTGGGATTACAGGCTTGAGCCACCGCGCCCGGCTATTTCTCCTGAATTTTTCTACTTTTTCCTCTGCTATCTTGATCTTGGTTACTCCCATTACACCTATGTCCGTATATTTAATAGTATCCCATACTGCTCTCAGGCTCTGTTCATTTTTTTCTTTTTTCTTTTTTTGGGGACAGAGTTTCATTCTTGCTGCCAGGCCGGAGTGCAATGGCATGATCTTGGCTCACTGCAACCTCCACCTCCCAGGTTCAAGTGATTCTTCTGCCTCAGCCTCCCAAGTAGCTGGGATCGCAGGTGCCTGCCACCATGCCCAGCTAATTTTTTTTGTATTTTTTGTAGAGACTGGGTTTCACCATGTTGGCCAGGCAGGTCTCAAACTCCTAACCTCAGGTAATCCACCCACCTCAGCTTCCCAATGTGCTGGGATTACAGGAGTGAGCCACTGCTCCCAGCCTTCTGTTCATTTTTCTTTATTCTTTTTTCTTTCTTCTCTTCACATGGCATCTTGATATATCTTCAAGTGTGGTGTTGCTTGCTTTTGTAAGCTCATATCTACTGTTGAGCCCTATAGTAATTTTTAAATTTTTATTATACTTTGAACCGCATAATTTCCATTTGGTTCTTTTTTTTTATTCATAGTCTTTATTTCATGAGAGATATTGTCATCATACCCACTTTTAATTAGATATTATTTTCTTTAGCTCTTTGAACATACAATGCTCCTGGTTTTAAGATGTGGTTATATCCCAATAAACCTCATCATAAGTTGAAAATATTGTAAGTCAAAAATGCATTTAATACACCTAATCTACCAAAAATCACAGAATAATACAGCCTACCTTTAAGTGCAGGATACTTACCTTAGCCTATAGTTTGACAGTATCATCTAACACAAAGCCTGTTTTATAATGAAATGTCAAATATCTTATTAAATTTGTTGAATATTATACTGAAAGTACAAAACAGAATGGTTGCATGGGTACTCACCATTAATGTACATAGCTAAAAGCACTATCATAAAGTAAAACACACACACACACACACACACACACACACACACACACACAAATCAAACCATTGTAAGTTGGGGACTTTGTATTTATAATCATTGCTTTGAAATCTTTGTGGGCCAAGTTGCTGCTGCTTGCTCTGTTTTCAGCGTATCCACCACATTTTCCTGTTTCTTTGTATGTTTCATAATTTTTTCTGAAAAACTGGACGTTCAGCCAGGCGCTGTGGCTCACGCCTGTAATCTCAGCACTTTGGGAGGCCGAAGCGGACCAATCACTTGAGCTCACGAGTTCAAGACCAGCCTGGGCAACATGGCAAAATCCTGTCTCTACAAAAATTAGCTGGGCATGGTGGTATGTGCCTGTAGTCCCAGCTACTCAGGAGGCTGAGGTGGGAGGATGGCTTGAGCCTGGGAGGTAGAGGTTGCAGTGAGCCAAGATTGCACCACTGCACTCCAACCTGGGTGACAGAGTGAGACCTTGTCCTAAGGAGAAAAAAAAAAAAATATATATATATATATATATATATATATATATATATATATATATGCACACACACACACATATATGTATATATATATAGCAAAAATGATATATTATGAAATAATATCTACTGTTTGCTAATTATCTGCCTTCTAGAGATTGATATTATTTTTTTGTTGCTCATTTATTTGTTTAGTTCCTTGGATGAACAAACTCTGAAATCTATTTTCTCTGCCTTGTGCAGCCTCTGATGTCTTTGCTCAGATCCTTTTTCCTTGGTTTTTATCATTTCTTTTGGCTACTGAGGGGGTCACTCCTGGGTTAGCATAAGCCACTTACTGATCAGAGGTTCTGCTTAAGCCCCTTAGTCAGTTAGGTTTAACCTTTACTGTTAGATATATGTATGGCTTGCAAGCTACTTTCATAATTCAGGGTATTTACTTTTTTGACCCACATTGTAGGCCAAGGACTAGCAGCTTGGAAGATACTTCTTTGATTGTTCCCGAGAAGGGCAGCCTTGGGTGTGCAGAGTCTTCAGACAACCAGGAAAGCACATTATTTTGTTTTAAGCCTGGCTTCCTAGGAGTTGCTTCTGGATAAGAATAGCTTATTGTTCAGCCAGTGTTTGGTGAGAGGTTGTGTTTAAACCACTTTTGCCAGTGAAGCTTCCTCCCTATGTTGATAGATCTGTGTGTGGCTTGGGGAATGCTTTCAAGTCTGCCTCATTCATTCCTTTCCCTTGTTTGCCCATGAGTGAAAGCAGCTTAGGATATGTACATAGCTTTCCCAACTCCCAGGACTTTGTTAATTTTATTTTTTTAACCTGTTCCAAATATGCTTAATGGATAAACAGGTAAGTTCACAAAATTTGAAACCTATAAACAAAATAAACTTTAAGCGTAGCAATTACTTAAGCAGATCAATAACAATAAAATGTTATCTTTATTTCATATAAGAAGAAACATATGAAATGCCAAGTTAGCTCAGCAACCTATTAATAACCATCAAAGACTGGTGATAAAGCATTCTTTCAGTGCTGATATATAGATATAGATATAGATACATATGCACAGTGGAGGATTTGGTAGGCTGTATTCAGATGAATCAAAGGGAGCTATTGAAATGAAGAATCACTTTGTTTTTTAAGCTTTTTTCCATCCTTTTAAAAAATAATATATATTTAAGGTGTATATATGCTGTTTCAATACACATATATGTTGTAAAATGATTACTACAGTCAGTTAGTTAACATGTCCAACTCCCAGGATTGACTGTGACTCCAGGAAGGTTCTTCTTGGCTGTCTCTTTCTCTGGTTTTCTCTGTTGAACTTCCGGCTGCTTTGCTCTATCATTTGTTGCCGCTAGGGTCAAAGAACTACCAGCACCCTCTCATTTGCACTCCCAAGATCTCTGTTGTCAACACCCTTAAGAAAGGAATTTTCTACATTTAATTACAAATAAAGTCATCACCACCCCTTTCCTCCTCACTCCTCTCTCCAGCTGCAGAGTTTCTTCGTTATAGTCAACCTCAGCTACCAGGCAGAACTTGAACTTTTATGCCACTGAAACGGGGAGGAGGGCAGAATAGGAAGGGATGGAACAGCATCCCTCTTCTCCCAGAGTAACATCTCTGGCTCCTTGAGCAGGGGAGAGGGTGGATAACTCCTGGTTCTCAGCTTGCCCTAGGTATGGAATCTATCAACAGGGAGTTTGAGTTGGGGCATTCAGGGCTCCATTGTTCTCAGCCTGCTGTGCCCAGGGTATGTTTTACCCCAGGAATGGAGGCTAGGTGGGATAAAAGGAGCTTCGTTTTTCCTGGTTGCTGTTCAGAATATAATTTACACAACACAGGGCTGGGAGGTGACGAGAAATGCAAATCGTATGCTTCTTTCTTTCAGGGTAGCCTGAGAACTAGAGAAAGAGGGAACCCCCATCTTCTTGGCCACCTGCCTGGACTAGATAGAGTTTCTAAAATACAGAGCTGTAGTGACAGGGAGGAGGAAACAAGGGAAAGGATCAGGTTGTACATCAAATGCTACAGATTTCTGTGTTCTTACCAAAATGTATTAGTTTTTTGTTTTGTTTGTTTTTTGAGACAGAGTCTCCCTCTGTTGCCCAAGCTGGAGTGTAGTGGCGCCATCTCATCTCACTGCAACCTCTGCCCCCCAGGTTCAAGTGATTCTCCTGCCTTAGCCTCCTGAGTAGCTGAGATTACAAGCATGTGCCACCATACCCAGCTAATTTTTTTGTAGAGATGGGGTTCAACCATGTTGGCAGTTTGGTCTTAACTCCTGACCCCATCATCCAACTGCCTCAGCCTCCCAAAGTGCTGGGATTACAGGTCTGAGCCACTGCACCTGGCCAAATTTTCTTGAATAAATTTTTCTCCATTTGCTGTATGCCCTTAAGACAATTTGCAGAGACTTTAAATTATTGTATTTTATAATTTTTAGCAGTTACAATGTTGTTTTGCTGGAAAGAGCGTATGCCAGCCTCCTTATTCCACCATCTTAGAAATCCTGCTTTGGCTTGAACACTTTATAAGAAAACTCAATAAACCTTTTGAGCTAAACTTCAATTTTTTTTAACATTGATGTTTAAAAGCACAGGAAGAATATAGGAAAGACCATAAATATATACACACCGTTAGGTAATACATTCTCTTGCTTTTAAGTATCCCAGGAATTTGTGAAGCAAAACTTTAACTTCTCAGTCCCTCTCTTTCCAAAGGTGACCATTGTTAACAGTTTAATTATGTGTCCTTAGCTATTCTTCAGAACCTGCAGAAAGAGAGCCTCAGATTAAGAAAAAGTAAGTGATATATGAACTGCTTCCATGAAAATCACTGCTATTTTTATTGTGTTTCTAGCCATTCATACTTAGAGAAATTCCTTACCGAGCAGATGATGGAAAGGAGGGAAGATGTATGGCTTCCACTCATCTCCTATAGAAATTCATTAGTCACTGGGGGTGAAGATGATAGAATGTCTGTGAACAGTGGAAGTAGTAGCAGCAAAACTTCATCAGTAAGGAATAAGAAAGGACGACCCCCACTTCATAAAAAAAGAGTAGAAGGTAAGTCTGCCTTTACACTGTGAGACAAACAATTTGCTTGGTTTTATAAAGTAGCAAATAATCTGTTGAAGCAAGGTAATAGTATTAGGCACATGATTTTTTTGTATATTTGATTCACATTGAGATGTTAAGGCAAAAGGTTGGAATAGACAAAGTAAGACAGAAAAGGGTCAAGGAAAAAGAAGCTGAAGAAGCATGGAGCATAAAGGAGGACAGAGCAAGAGGAAACAATTAGCTAGGTCTATAAAGTTAATCCCCATACTATATGCCTGTAATACATTAAAATTTAAAGATAATCAATACTATTGTATTAAAATTCTTCCTAACATAGGTGAGATACAGATAATTTGAGGGTAGATTTCTGCAGCAAATTGAATATGCCACCCGAATAGTTTTCCAATTTGCCACTTGGTTGGAACAGTAAGACAGTGACGGCCTCCAGGTTTGGTGTCTCACACCTGTAATCCCAGTTACTTGGGAGGCTGAGGCAGGAGGATCAGGAAGTTGAAGCTGGAAATTTTGAGACCAGCCTGGGAAACATAGAGAGACTCCCATCTCTAAGAAAAATTTTGTTAAAAATTGGTGGCATGCAGCTGTAGTCGCAGCTACTTGGGAAGCTGAGGTGGAAGAATCACTTGAGCCCAGAAGTTTGAGGTTGCAATGAGCTATGATCATGCCACTGCACTCCAGCCTGGGTGACAGAGAGAGACTCCCATCATTTAATCTTTTTTTTTTTTTTTTTTTGAGATGGAGTCTCGCTGTGTCACCAGGCTGGAGTTCAGTGGCACGATCTCATCTCACTGCAACCTCTGCTTCCCAGGTTCAAGCAATTACCCTGCCTCAGACTCCCGAGTAGCTGGGACTACAGGCGCACACCACCACACCCAGCTAATTTTCCTATTTTTAAAGACAGGATTTCACCATGTTGGCCAGGATGATTTCAATCTCTTGACCTCATGATCTGCCCACCGTGGCCTCTCAAAGTGTTGGGGTTACAGGCGTGAGCCACTATGCCCAGCCGGCCGTTATTTATTTATAAAAGCAGTAATGGCTAAATCTGGTTTTATAAGCCTCTTGGACTCTGGGGAATGGGAAGTTAAAGTGTCATGAAAATCTGATCAATAGTAGGTATTCCTATATCTAAAAAAAAAAAAAAAAACAACTAAAAATTGCTCTGTTAATACAAAGCATTCCTATTAAAATTACTAAGAGAAGCCTCAAAGAAAAAATGCATATTTTCTCAAATAATCTTCCCCCTTCTCCATGCTTCTAATAAATTTTCTCCAAACCAAGTGGAGGGCTGTGATCTGAGTTCTCTCTCTTGTTCTTTTTATAACTTCTTCTCTTTTAGCATCTTAACCTGTGCTGCCTAAAAAAATTACTCACTAAAGGTTTGGCTAAAATCGGTGGCAAAATTAATTTGAATTTAAATCTAATGATTCTTTTCATTATTGGGGAGACAGTATTGACTATTGATGATCCTATAAATTATAACATCAGAGTTCCAAAATGCATACCTCGCCTTCTCACTACCAGCTATGTGACCTTTGAGTATATTACTTAACCTCTCTAAGTTTCAATCATTGATCAAATGAAGGATGAGCAGAGTATTTCTCATGTCAGTTACTTGATGAATATTAAATGAGATGCTACAAATAAACCATTTAATACATACAAAGTACTAAGCACAGTGCTTGGCACATAGGTAGCATTCAATAAATTATCCAAATGTTACCATTGTGTAGTAATGCCTCATATATAGCATCAGTCAGTAAACTAGGCAGCATCTATATTTCTTTTCTTTTTTTAACCTCTAGTTCATAGGAAACAACTGTATTTCAAAAGGAATAAAAGAATTAATATAAATGTTACTGTTAAGTTTAACAACATCTCCACAAAGTTTAAGATTTCCTTTCAAATTACAGGTTTGGGACTTAAAAGTCTTTTTTTTTTTTTTGAAATGAAGTCTCGCTCTTGTCCGCCAGGCTGGAGTGCAGTGGTGCAAGTTCAAGCAATTGCCTCCTGGGTTCAAGCAATTCTCCTGCCTCAGCCTCCTAAAGTGTTAGGATTAGAGGCATGAGCCACCACACCCGGCCTTAAAAGTCTTTTTAAAAAGTCCAGAGAAGGAAAATGTAAAATCTTGTCTTTGTAATATTGGAGCCTGGACTTTTCTATGACTACAGGCATTTTCCCTTTTTTTTTTTTTTTAAGATGGGGGTCTCCTCCCTCTTGTTTCCCAGGCTGGAGTGTAATGGCCTGATCTTGGCTCACTGCAACCCCCGCCTCCCAGGTTCAAGTTACTCTCCTGCTGCAGACTCCCAAATAGCTGGGATCACAGGTACCCACCACCACACTCAGCTAATATTTATATTTTTAGTAGAGACAGGGGTTCACCATCTTGGCCAGGCTGGTCTTGAACTCCTAATCTCAAGTGATCCACTCACTTTGGCTTCTCAAAGTGCTGGGATTATAGGCTTGACCCACTGCACCTGGCGTTTTTGTTTTTTGTTTGTTGGTTTGTTTGTTTTAGAGAGACAGGATCTCACTCTGTCACCAAGGCTGGAGTGTTTTCCAGCTGCAAGCTCCCTGGTTTAAGCAGTTCTCCCACCTCAGCCCCCAACTAGCTGGGACTATAGGCGTGCGCCACCACACCTGGCTAATTTTTGTATTTTTTGTAGAGAAAGGGTTTCACCATGTTACCTAGGTCTTGAACTCCTGGACTCAAGTGATTCACATGCCTCAGCCTCCCAGAGTCTTAGGATTACAGGCATGAGCCACCGAGCCTGGCCATTCTTCAGTGTAATATTCTTTTTTTTTTTTTTTTTTTTTTAATAGAGATGGGGTTTCACCATGTTGGCCAGGTTGGTCTTGAACTGCTGACCTCAGGTAATCCACCCGCTTTGGCCTCCCAAAGTGCTGGGATTATAAGCGTGAGCTACCATGCCCAGCCTTCAGTGTAATATTCTTATTAGCCAACATTCATCAAATCTTTGCTATGTACTAGGAATATGTTTTAACATGGGTTATATCACTTAATCATTTATTTGACTAATATTTGTAAAGCACGTAAGTCTGTCTCTGACACATAGTGAATGACATGTAAGTATATAAATGTCTTATAAGTCAATGCTATTATCTAAATTTTTCACAAAAGAAACTAAAGCTTAGAGAATTTAAATAGCCATAATGTTCACTAATGGTGCAGTCAATATCATTTTCAAGATTAAGAGAAGCTTATGTGGACCAGAAATTACAAAAAAGAAAAAACTTGTCATTTGAGATTTACAAAATGATTAAGATGGGTTGCATTGTAGAACCCTTAGGCTGCAGAGTTTCATCCTTCAGAGATGGAAATGAGAAAGTATTACAAGAAATATTTTCATTGAGGAATCTCTAAAGGATTAGAAGCATCTGTTTAAGATGAGTGAGTTCTTCCTGGAGTTATCCATTCATTCACTAAGTTTCTGTCAAGTGCCTTCCTAAGAACTGCGCTAGTTGCTACAGATTAGGTATTAATCTGCTGTGAGTGCAGATAGGAAGAGACAGAACAGAAACAGGCTGTTTGATTTCACCATGGTCAATGCTCTGATGCACCAAACACAGGTGGTTCTGGGAACATATAGACAGTGACCAAACTTTTTTTTTTTTTTTTTTTTTTGAGACGGAGTTTCGCTCTTGTTACCCAGGCTGGAGTGCAATGGCGCAGTCTCGGCTCATTGCAACCTCCACCTCCTGGGTTCAGGCAATTCTCCTGCCTCAGCCTCCTGAGTAGCTGGGATTACAGGCACGTGCCACCATGCCCAGCTAATTTTTTGTATTTTTAGTAGAGACGGGGTTTCACCATATTGACCAGGATGGTCTCGATCTCTTGACCTCGTGATCCACCCGCCTCGGCCTCCCAAAGTGCTGGGATTACAGGCTTGAGCCACCGTGCCCGGCTGACAGTGACCAAACTTTTAATGAATACAGGAAAATTTTTCTGGAAAAGATGACATGTAGTAGACAGCTGACAGATGAGTTTACCAGGTTCAGAACCTAAGTGATAATAATCTTTTTATCATAAAATTTTAAGTGTCATAGAAAATGAAAGTTTTGAATTAAATGTTGAATGAAGTGTTATGAATAGATGATGAAACATGTCTTTGTTAACTAAGAAGAGATTCTGTAGTGAGCTTCAGATAAGAGGAATTAATTTAACCAGACAATGGGTATTTCCAGGCACAGAAAAGCCAATCTAGAATGTACACATGTCTAACAAAATATCAGAAACCTGAGAAATAGGATGCTCGATGGCAAAGGAGGAACCTAACACAGACATCTCTGAGACTTAAGGAGAGGAAAAGCAATGGGATTCATACTATATATCGTGATTAAAATTCTTGAGAAAGAAAACCAAAGCAGTGATACTTTTTAAGAAGCCTTATCATATTTATAATAATTTAGAATGTTTGTAGAAACTTGGCCGAGGATAGTAGCTCATGCCTTTAATCCCAGCACTTTGAGAGATGGGTGGATTGCTTTGAGCTCAGGAGTTTGAGGTCAACCTAGGCAACACAGCAAAACCCCATCTCAAAAAAAAAAAAAAAAAAAAAAAACTTTAGGTAATATTTTATCAGGATAGTTTGTAAATAATGCTTTAATCTGCTCAAATCTTTATAAACCATCTTCACCTGGGTGCAGTGGTGCACGCTTGTAATCCCAGCACTTTGGGAGGCCAAGGCAGGTGGATTACCTGAAATCAGGAGTTCGAGACCAGCCTGGCCAACATGATGAAACCCCATCTCTACTAAAAATACAAAAATGGTCTGGGTGTGGTGGTGGGTGCCTATAATCTAAGTCAGTAGAATCACTTGAACCCAGAGGCAGAGGTTGCAGTGAGCTGAGATCTCACCACTGCACTCCAGCCTGGGTGACAGAGCAAGATTCTATCTTTAAAATTTTTTTTAAAGAATTGTAAATGGGGATTGTGTAGGGGTAATCAGGGAAGGTTTCTCTGAAAGACAGAGGCATGAAAATGGTGTACCTTTCATCCTATCTCCACATGTATAACTTGGCAAAAAGTTATTGATCATTGTCCAGTTGTGTAAAGGGATTTGCTTATTTTTCCACAAAAGCCAATCAGACTTTAATTGCTGGAACCCCTTCCAGGCCCAGGAAATAGGCCTTTTGTTGCTTGAGCAAAGAAAAGCAGGAGAGGTCTCCGGCTGGCTGCAATCTTCTTCTAGGATGAATGAATCTTTAGAGATGGAGGGACTTTAGAGATAACGATGTGATGATAGCTAACATTCATTGGTTACATACATTACCTCATTTAGTCCCTACAACTTTTGAAGTTAGGTAATGATGTCCCCATTGTATATATGAGAAAACTCAGCTTTGGAAGTTTAATGACTTATACAAAGTCATATAAATAAGTGGTGGAACTGGGATTTAAAACGGGCAGTTCTAATTGCAGAGCCACACTCTTCACAACTCTATGCTATAACTGTCACCAGAGTTCACTCCACCCACGACATTCTGTGACCCTAACTGGAATTTTACAGATGAGAGTCT